TCCATCACCAACTCCCAGAGCTTACTCAAACTTGTGTCCATTGAGTTGGTGACGCCATCCAACCATCTCATCCTCTGTCGTCCCCTTCTCCCACCTTCAGTCTTCCCCAGCATCAGCATCTTTTCCAGGAGTCAGTTCTTCACATCAGGTGGCCAAAGTATTGGAGTTTCAGCTTCAGCATCAGTCCTTCCAATGAATATTCAGTACTGGTTTCCTTTAGGATGGACTGGTTTGATCTCTTTGAAGAAGATAGATACCTTCTGTCTCTTCTTCAAAGATACAGTTTATCACATCTAACATTTCTCTGCTATCCATATGATTCAGACTTCTCTCCTGATCTGTAAACTCCTTAAAGGTAGGAGCCTGGAACAGTTGGGGGTATTTTTTGATGCTTTATTAAATATTTGGTGAAAGTTCCTGCCTTGAATTCCAGTTATTTACTTAATACTGTCCTCAGATATTTCATTGCTAAGGCCAAAATGCAATCTTTGTTTGCAAGATCATGTCATTTCTTTCCCAGTCCTTTTCCCCCTTGGTCCCTTTTTATTGTGTTCTCTTATCATGGAATGTACAGTTTATTGCCACCATATTTTAGCTTTAAGTTTTAGCAACTGAAAAACACCCCCATATATAGCAGCCCTGGGCAAACTGAAGTGCTTAAGTCACCTGCGTGTTCATAAATGTGTATCTTAACCTGTTTTATTTCTTTTTTTACCCTATGGCTCATAATTGTACTTTGTGTAAAGGATGAGTTCCTTGAAATTATGCACAGAATATTGTATGCATGGACGTATTTCTGAGCTGGAGCTGTCCCTTGGATCAGGGACCCAGCCAGGCTGAAAGCCATCTTTGTGATTCCCAGCTTTCCGTCTCCCAAGCCCCCCGGTGACCCCCTAGGTGCTAGGGGCTCCTGTTGGTCCTTCTTTGGGTGGCCATGTCTGTTTTCTGGACAGATCTCAGGCTGAGCACTTCTCCCGAGTACTCTTAACTCCTTCTCCCTCTCTCTCTCTCTCAATTTGCCAGATATATGTGGGGAGGAGGTCCAGTGAATGCCTTCGTGGAGTGACGTTCACATGTTGCCTTATTTAATACTTACCCGCGAGTGAGCTAATTTGCAAAGCCCTCCTCAAGGCTTCCTCGCTTGCCCAAGATCACCCTGCGTGAGTGGTGGGCTGAGGTCTGAACCAAAGTTTTCTGACTCCCAGGCTCCTCTGTTCTGGGGCTCGCTCCCGCTCTGCTGGAAGTCTGCAAATCCTCCCACCCCATTCTTTTTCCCCGTGGCCAGGGCCAGCCACAGAGACTGCAGGTGGGGACTAAAATGGAAATTGTCAGAACTTCTCACTGTACTTAGAAAAGTTACCGTCTGGAGTGCAGAACTATAGCAACAGCTTTTCTGAGGCAGGAAGAGAGGGAGAAAAGGAAGGGAAGAAAGGAGAGAGAGAGATCAGCTATTGAGGAGCAGCAGCAGCCAGGCCGTATTTGCAGTTGGACAGTTGTAGGATTTTTTTTTTTTTTTTTTTTTTTTTAGCCATGTGGCCATCAACCACGAATGCATATACTTTCAAAGTCTCGTTTTCCTTTTATGTGAAAGTTTCCAGGATGGAACAGATGCCTTTATTTGGAGAAACCAATCTTTGGAAATAATTGGTTTTCTCTCTGCTTATCCTCTAGGTGATCTTCCACAGATGAAATTAGATGAGGAAAAGAATCACGCAGCCTTAACTTGTAGTTATTTCTTTATTTTTCCCCCCTGCAAAATGTTTTGGGACCTGCAGCTTACGTCCACATATTTTGGTACTGTTGACTGATCATAATTTAGCACAGCCATGACTCTCAGAAAAGAAGATGTTGTGATCGCACTAGGTCATTTTTGAATAGTGAACTAGTGCCTTTATGCTTTAAATGATATTAAAATAGGTATTGCCTCCTTTCTGCTCTCAATTGATTATCTCTTCATATCATCCTGGTGAGTTAGGTGTAATCGTCTTGTTGTAGAGATTTACACCTAAAGCTTAGAAAGGTTAAATGACTTGTTTCAAGGTCAAATAGCTAGTAAGTGTTAAGACCTGACATTCCAGTCCATTTGTGTGGAGTGGGCTTCCAAGTGGTCAGTGCAGGTAAGGAACAGTCATTTTAGGAAATTTTATTTTATTGAAGATTATAGCAGAGGAGATATTTCAGAGCTTCCTGCTATTTTCAGTTGCCTGGTTAACTTATTGATCACCCTATGTTGTCACCTTGACTATAAATAATTCATAGATCGGTCACCTGCTTTCTGTTTAATTTTTTAATCTTTAAATATCTGAAGTATTTTAAAATAGTGCTTTATCACAATAAGAGGAAGAAGCTGGAAGGAAGACAAGGTAGTGTCAGTTATCCTTTAGTCCTTTGTTCTCTCAGCCAGTATTGAGTGAACTCCTTCTATGAGTCAGGCACTGAGTTTGAAGACTGTTGAGTACACCTGGCCCCTTCTCTCATGGCCGTTACAACAAAATGCATATATTGCATCAAGGTAAGGTCTGAAGACAGAAGGAGAATAAGATGGGATCCCTTTCCAGCAGGAAACCCACTTGATAAACTAAATTGGGGGATAAGGCTATGCATAAAAACCTTAAAGGGTGCATGGACTTAATGCTGCCTGCAGTCCTTAATTGTGGTTTCCCAGTGCTTGCTCTGGGAGGGAGGGCTGGCTTCTCAGCTGTGGATGCCCTGTATGATTTCCATCACAGCCTATATTTGTACAGTATTGATGGGGATGGGTTCGTATGAACAGTATCTGGAAGATAAAGGTTGCCCAGCTTGATATAGACCATAAATGCGGTTACAATTTAAAGAAGAAAGAATGATCATAAGCCTTAGGAGTGGTCACGGAAATGTTTGTGATGGTCATTGGGTGTGAATTGGACCTTTATAGCATTTTATTAGGTGGAATTCCTTTATTTCATTCTCTTTAGGTGCCAAGTACAGTTTTAAGTATGGAAGATTAATGAGGAAAACAGACAAGACCCCTATCTAATAGATCTTATAGTTTAGGAGTAGGAGGCATACAGTAGAAACAGTTGTAAGATTATTCACTATCGTGTTAAATGCAGTGAAGACAATTAAAAAACCAGTGTTGGAGAGAAGGGTGGGGGTTGCTGCTGGTAATGGAGAGACTTGACTTTGGACAGGAGGGAAACTGTCTCTGAGGTTATACTTGAGTGAAACCTGAGTTGAGGAGAAGCTGGCCATCCACCAGTCTGGAAGAGTTAATGGACAAATCCATAAAGATGAGATGATGCATCTATGGGAGTTTATCCACTGAAGAGCTGCACCCTCTAGGGGGATGGATGGAGCCCCACTAGGGAGATGGATGGAGCAGAGGCTGAAAAGGTGCAGATTAGTGCCAACTCGTGGTGGCTCTTGAATGTCAGAATGAGGCAAGAAGGAGGACTGTGTGCTTCTGTGCGTATCAGGGGTGAGTAGTTAGAGGAGAGGAGACTCAGGATGGGCATGTGTCACAGAAGCTTAAGGAATCCTGTGCAGTTGGAGTCTTGAAATTTAGTTCTTGTGACCTCTGGTGAGGGACACCCAAATAACAGTGTCCCAATCACTTCCTGTTAGAAGTTGAATGTTGTCTTAAGAGAGGCTGTTTCAAACCAGGGGGGTGCAGAATTGTCCTACAAATGAGATTGTGGAGGCCTTGACAAGTGTAGGCTACAGCCCAGTACTAGGGACTGTGCTTGTTGAGATAAAATGTTTTCTAAGTCGGTTATGATATCGTGGGTTCCTTTTGTGGAACAGAAAACTACTTGTATTTTTATTAAAGTAGAGGGACAGTCTTTATGTTACAAGATGCTTTTGTAAAAAGAAATAGATTAAGAGTTGATTTGCTTCAGACTGATAAAAAGAGGTGTGTTAAATCCTCATTTTTGGAATAGCTGTGTCTTATTTACTAAAGGAAAAGCCCCAAATGTTGATGTAATTCTAAAGAGAAATGTGTTTAGGCAGCGAGGGGATTCCTGGCAGTGATTGAGAAACACAGTAATGGGGAGCTGCACTTGATCGCTTTTGAGGTTGATTCTTATGTGTGTAGTCTTTTACATCCTATTAAAACTTTGAAAGATAAACTGATACAAGAATGGTTTGCCAAGGCCAGCAACTCTTCCTTTTAAAACCTTGGCTCCGTGTACACATTGAAGGGGTGGGGGAGTAAGATAAAAGCATTATAAATATGAGGTTAACTGAATTCAAATAGAAGGTTCTCTCAAGTTATTGCATTCCTTAGAAAATAAATACATTGCACATATGGTTAAGATTGATCAAAAAAGTATTCTGTATGCCAGTGATTACATTCCCATCTGTGATTAAGATTTTCTGTCTGCATCTGGTTTTCACATTATATTTCTGTAACAAGAATCCTTTATATAGCAGAGTTCACTTTCTGTATTTTCTATTAGCTGCAGCTTGAACTACTGCACGGATCGCAGATTTACACATGTGGTTTTCATTACTTCATACCATTGAGAAAAAGTAATATTTGTTTGGGAATGTATGTTTTCCACAATTTCCATGGTAATACAACATGTTGAGCCTTTTTAATAACACTCTTGTAGAACTACAAATTGTTTGAGGCATTCTACTCTTGGTAGAGTTTAGCTTTTAAACTGGTCTCTGTGTATGTTCACTTCATGATGAGATTTTACAGGTTCAATGCCTGAGGATTGGAACAAAGCAATATTAAAGATAGAGAAATTTCAGTTGCATGTGATATACACTTTAGTATGTAAGTATCACAAATAATCTGAATGTGTATTCTTTAGTACTCATGACCGTTACTCATTTTATTGTTATTTTATATCAAAAGACCATTTATTGTGTTCTAGGTATGAAGCACAAATGTAATACTCCAATCATTATTTTGAGAAATCCAAGTATTAGCACCTCCGCCCCCCCTTTTTAGGTGAATTATCTTATTGACTGTGATATAATGTTTCATATATAAAAATTGTTGAGTAGGAAGAATTCTCAGGGGTAACTTGGGGTTTACCTTGTGTGTTTCCTCAATGTGTATTTGTATGCCATGCTAACATTTAAGGAAAACATGTACACTTGAAATACTTTGTAACACTATCTTCCTGCCAACTTTTCTCCATTCACTTCAGAATACTCCCATTAAAACAGACACATGTGAAGTTAAAAAGTGAAACAGTATATTCTATACTGGGAGATCATTTATAATTGAGAGATCTATCTTATAAAAGTTTATCCACATGGTAGTTTTATGTGCCTCAAAACTGAGACCCACTATACCATTTTTGATAATAAACCCAGACAGTAGTCTGGTGTTTAGCAGTCATAAGGAGGAGGAAAAAGACTTAGACTCTAGGGGATTTGTATGGACTTGGCTTCCTTCATTTGTTTAATGGAGATTGTTCAATATGGCCCACACAGGTAGGATTTACTGCATCAGCCTCTCCAGGGCTTTTTGTTGATGTTGTTGAGGCACTAAATATTATCAGAAATCATACCTGAATCTAAGAAAAGTATCCATGTCCTTCTTTTTCCCAACAGTACTTATTTATCTTCTGTTTACAATATATATATATTTAAATTTTGCCATTAAGAATGAGAAACAGCTGATTACATGATAGAAGAGTCGTAATGTGTATAAAGGGCCTTGCTTTTAAAAAAATAATAGAATCTGCTTATTTATGTAATTAGAGTATGTATATTCACCAATTTCAATTTCTGGGGAATAGTTTGGTCTCTTAAAAAATAGCAATAATAGCCTTAGTAATATTTTGAGACTGCTTTTATAAATCTGTTCTTCTGCATTTATTGAGTTATTGCTTTATGTGCACATGATTGTGCTAGATTTATATCTCATAGATTATAAGAACTAAATAGTAATGCTTGTTCTATTCAGAGTAGTGGTGGTACTAGTAATAGTAGGTGAGTGATAAATAGTGGATGTTTGGGAATGAATGAATGAACTTAAGCCTGACAAATCTAAGCAGGACAAATGAGAATATCTGGATTGCTTTAGGGAAAAATAAAAAGTAGTAGAAGTTGGTTTATTTGGTGAAATGATTCACTAACAATTGTTGTTACTAATATTTTCAAACTGGTTGGTTGCATAAAGATTATTAGTTACTGCTATTAGTTGTTTCGGAATGATGGCAGTATATAAATTTCAGAACAGTGAAACAATGGGGATACCACGTTGTTTTGAAATGTGATTTAACCTGCATGTAAAATTCCAGAAAAATAAAACAAAAAACGCAGTGTCTAAAAGCATTTTCTAAAGAAACTATCACTGTGACAGATTCATTTTAAAAAAATAAAATGGGTAAAATCTAAAGCGTTCTTTTAAGGTATTGATGTATGCATGTTTTAGATCCAACTTAAGGAAAGAAGAGTAGTATCCAGCTTTGAGTCAGGTGATTGGAGAATTTAGAGGCCTGGAGGAAATCAGAAAATGGGAATTGTTTCAGATTTCTCTAAAATTTAGAAGGGCTTGTATCTGTTTGTTAAACAAAACTGGCCTAGTATTTTAAGTAGATGGGTGTAATACTTCAGACTGGTTGTGATATATGCGTTTTTTTTCCCTTTGTTGTTGTCAATAGAAAAGATTGATCTCTGGGCTGGTGAACATAATATCTGTCCCAGTCCGAAAAGGAGAGAGGAAATTAGCAGAGCGGTTGGTGGAGAATGATATCTGTCAAAAGAAACAGTTGGAGAGCGCTGAGTTTAGTAATAGGTGACTGCCGGAAAAAGGGGAACTTTGAATATTGTCAAGGTAAGGAACAGACAAATATTTTGACTTTGTGATTTACTTACATGCCAAAAATCAATCTTCTGTTTTTTTTTCTAATAAATTATTCTTGTGAAGATTTTCATTTTCTTTTCTTTATTTTTCTAGTGCCAGTTGATAAAGAATTTGTATTGCATATTTTAAAAAATTGTCTTTGAAATCTCTGGGTATGGGGTTGGCTGTGAGACCCCTTGTTTGATAGCAAATGATTAAGTACCAATTTTGTTTTTACCCCTCTTCTTGTGGCTGTGCTTCTTGCCATGTTTTGTAATACGTCTGTTATAAGATGAGCGGTACTTGGAGTTAAAGAGTAAAAACTATGCCATGATTTCTGTGTTTATTGTAACTAGAGATGGTATTTTCTGAAACAGTTTGTTGACTAAAGGGAAAAATGCTATTCAATTTATTGTTTCTTCTGTTTGATTTGGATTAAAAAAAAAAAAAACTTGTAGGTGAATGTCCTTTCCTAAGCAGAATTCATTTTAATGTGTCCATAGGCACATTAAAAAAAAAAAGTGATATCTAATTTTAGGAAAACTATAAACAACATGTAAACTGTTTCCCAGTTGGCAAGTGACTTCTTAAAGTCTGCAACATTTAATAATTAAGGACAGCCCTGTGTTATGAATTCCAGAGAGTCGATGCCTCCAGCAGCCAGCTCTGCTTCAGGCTTAGTGGAGTGGAACAGAAGTACAGATGACTAAAGATAAACTGTGCTAAGAAAGGATTGAGAGGTAACACAAATGTTCTCTGATACTGGTTGGCAATCTAGTGATTAGGAGGGGGTTTTTGAAGTCCTGTGACTGCCTGCTTGACTATATGGAAAAGAGGGTAGCAAAATGTTTACCTTTCATGGCCAGTGTTCTGGAAACACAGATGCCACCCCCGACCCCCACCCCCAGCACACACATGACATCTACTCTTGCGGTTCCTTTGAAGACTTACTGGTTTGTTCTTCAAGTTTCCGAGAAGGTATTGGCAGATGAGGGTGTTTTGTTGTTGAAAGTCCAGAGAAAGTGCAGTGATTCTCTGTACAATTACAGGCTCCTTTGAGATAACCTGTCATGCTTTACTTTCTCTCTGTATTTGTCTTCATGTCCCCCGTCATCCTGGTAGGATGTTCTTCTACCGTAATTAGTGGGAGACATCAGTTCAGAAAAGAAGACAAGGAGCTCAGCCTACTGAGCAGCTGAGACATCGCTCACTTCTGCGTCTCTCTTCCTCCCAACGTACCGTTACTACCAGAAATTAATTTTTTGAGAGCGCAAATCTTTGTTGGTTAGATTTCTCAAGTCCAGAGAGGAGGGAGAGGGTGAGACAAATGGAGAGAGTGGGCGGAAACATAGACACTAGCGTATGTAAACAGAGAGCCAGTGGGAATTTGCTCTGTGACTCGGGAGCTCAAACTGGGGCTCCCTAGTAACCTAGAGGGGAGGGAATGGTGGGAGGTGGGAGGGAGATTCAAGAGGGAAAAATAAGCTACAGGATTTCTCAAGTCCAGCATAGAAAGGAAGGTGTTAATAGCATAAAGGAAACAAATGGGTAATAATGACAGCAAGCCTTGCTTTAGAATTGCTTTCCCTTCATCTTCCATCAGAAGAAAGCACTTTGTCCCACAGAGGATATACTCTCTGCTTTCTGCCTTATGTATCTGTATGGGGATGGGGTTTAACAGTATGATAAAGATACATAAGGTGCAGGCTTCAAATTGGAAAAGAAAATTGGATTTTAAAACTTGAGTGTGTATTGCAGATATGTTGCATCAGGGTCTTTACCCAGCCCCACACCATTACAACCATGCTTTCTCCCCGTCACGTGGCATATCTCTATGACCTTTGCAGCATGGACGATTCACATTTAAAGCAAAACTGCTTGACAGAGACATATTTTAAAACAAGTTAATGCATTTTATTTGTTATAATATGCAAACACCAGGCCTCAGCATCAGGTATCAAAAACACCATGCTGAGTTTCTCTCTTTCTTGTGTGTGTGGGTGTGCATACTTAAAATGATGTGTGTGTCCACACACAGTGTATATACACATGTATGTACACACACATATATGTGCATATATGTGTCTGATTGTGTGTGTTTGCTTATTTTATAACTGTTGGGTTTTCTTTATGTTTCATGTGGCATTGAAAAGTTTACTCCTTGTTTTTTCTTTTTGGTGTGATGGTAGTGGGTGTATATAAATAAATATGGGGTTTGAGCCAAGAAGTAGAGATAAACAGAAATCACATACTTCAAATTTACAAAAAAACGTGGAGTCCGTTGGACTGTTGGGGTTGTAATCTGGAAGCAGAAAAAACAAAGAACTAGATAGAGCCTGTGAACAGTTGGGGCAGTAAGCGACAGTGGCCTGAGGTGGTGCTAGAGAGTCTGGTCCCTGTGATGAGTTTGAAGCCAGGCTGGGGTCACCAGGAGACAAGCCTGTGTCTTCCGGGAGGCCAGGAGAGAAATGATGCCTTAGGGACAGTCACCAGCTCCGGTAGGAGCTTATGATAAAGGCAAAATGCTGCTATGTTCCCCCTAGTATTTTAAAGCATCTCCTAAATATTCAGTGTTCCATTTTCTACAGCTGTGTCTTTGTGAGAACTGGGCAGATCTGGGACAGTTAGGAGTGGTATCGAGCCTGAGGAGCTTGCTCTTATAAGCCGTTAAGGAAAGGGTCCAGTATTTGTCATACAAAAAAATTAACTGGTCATCTAAAAGATGTGTGGGCATTAGAATGGAAGCAGTTATGACACAGGAAACTTGTTGCAAAGTAGTTTGTATTTATGTTCAAATCATGGGATGGGATATTTATTAGTACCAATTTTAAGATACTGTATGTGTTTCAAAAGCCACACTTGTGTTTTTAAAAATAAAAGTGCTAAATTTAGATGGTGCTGTGTACCTTCAGATATTTGTGTCTTTATTAGCAAAAGAAGAAGGTTATTTTCTTAAGCAGAATTGCTGAGTTTTGGGAGCATTTGCATTTATTTTTAGTTTTTCTTGGTCATGTTTGAGAGGTCTGATAGCATTAATGGGCTTTACCCCACATGGAGCTTTGAGCTTATTGTAGCGCTGCACACTGATCCCAGGTCAGTGTGATGCGTGAAATCAATTTATTTGAATCTCTTTGCCTCTATAGGAATTTGGCAGCATGCCAGTTGTTTTCATTTAATGTTCTTTGTGTTGAACACAGACAAGCAGGCATGCTTTTGTATTCATCTCTCTTTTGGTCTCTGTCTCTTTCAGCCAATATTTTACTCTGTGGATTCTGAGATGAAGAAAGAATATATTATTTATATGATTCTAATCATTACTTAATGTGTGTGTTCTACTTTCTTATCTTTTAAGGGATTTGTTTTTAATTAATATTCCTGAGTTTTCCTAGTGACTTTCTTTGTAGAGCAGAAACATTTTAGAGTTTTTAAAAAATTATGATTTTGGATGAGACATAATAAACCAGACCATAGGTGGTATTTGCTTGCCATAATGTTTGTTATCAAAACGGGAAAGAACAGTATTCATTACACCATACAACCAGTGTTTCATTTGTGAACTGGATTATCAAAATCAGTGATTTCTTGGGGGAGCTTTCTGAGGGTAAAAAGATTCATACTTTAATCGGGTCCAAACGAAGACACATGATTAGCGGGGTAGTTTTCTTTTTGAATAACACATCTTGCTGAAGATGCCCCTGTTTTTACCTAGATTTGGTTTAGATGAATCTTGACAAGTTCCTGCCATGAGGGCAGGTTTTTTTTTTTTTTTTCTTTTTAAAATTTGGAGGATCCTGGCAGGGAACGGCACAAAGGTTTCTGCAGCACAGAGGCTGCGAGCCTGGTGTGGCTGCTTTTGTGGAGAGGATGTGTTTCTGGGTCAGCTTTAGGAAGAGGTGCAGAAGGGAACGGGCAGGGAGGAGGAGAGAGCCGCCGTGTTGATGCTCCGGGCTGTTCTCGGGGAAGTCGGTCTGCAGACCCGGGGCGCCTGGGAGCCTCGGGGTCAGGCCCGCCCCCAGCACCCCGCTTCCTCGTTTAATTACCTGAAGAGCCCAGCAGCCCGCCGGCGGGTGTGTGAACGCCCGGTATCTCGGCGGCCGCCTGGCGCTGCGACATCCTGCGCGGCCAGCCCTGTCCGTCCGCCAGCGGCAGGCTGGCCCCCGCCCGGGTTCCTTTGCCTTCTGGAGGCATTGTGTGGAAGAGGGTTTGGTCAGGAATTGGAGGTTCCTGCCACTGCTGTGTCCCTCCTCTCTCTCTCTCTTTCTGGACCGAGCTGGCAGACCTGCTTGATTCTTTTTTTTTTTTTAATGAGTTTTAAAGATCTGTCTTTTTCATTTTACACTCTGGCCTTGCCATGAAACACACATCTCTATCAGCAGCCACAGACAGTCGCCAGTGCAGGACTGGTCTCTGTTAATGGGTTCTTACTTCCCTAATTCTTGTTCTTTCCTGTCCTTCCCATGTTGCCTTTTTGGGTCCGATTCACTGAAACTAGTAATTCAGAGGTTATTTTTATGAGGCCGTTTTGGAATCTTCATCTGTCCATGAAAACAGAATGGTCCATTTTTAAACAAAGGTGATACAACAGTGAAGTTTGGGTTTTTTTTTTCCCTTTTCCATGCAATTTAAATATGGGGACTTGGATGTTTGCTGTGTGAAGGGCCACACCCTTTGCTGAAGCTGGGGATGGTAAGAAATACTATGTGGATAGAAACGTGTGGCCAATTTGAGAGTCATATAGGGTAAAGACTCTGAGGAATGCTTGGAGATGGAGCCACTTGGGAGATCCCCAGAGTGTAACAAGATGTTATCTTTCCATGAGGAAATCCAGCAGGTTCTTGGTCCACAGTGTGGGCTGATGAAATGTGTGTGCTGTGGGTGGGTTGGGGGGGGGGGGGTGGCAAAGGTGGTGGGGGTGGGGGGGTTCCTGCAAAGGAAGGGGAAAGTGTGACTACATGTGCAGTGATTTGCTTTTTCCAACTACTTCATTAGGA